GTGTGTGATAAGATTTTAATTATTTTTAGTGAGCTTCTTGTGGTTTTTTTTAGGTGTTTTATGTAGGGTGACCAGGTTTGACGTTTGTCAAATATTACTCCTAACATTTTAACAGAATCTTTGTTGGCAATTTGGGTATCGTTTAGTTAAATAACTAGCTCATTGACTCTTTTTTTTGTAAAAGTAGTACAAGAGGACTTCCCAGGAGAGAAGTTGAATCCGGTTTTGATTGCCCATTTTTCTAAGTTGTTGGTGGTTAATTGTAAAAAATTTTGTACAGTTTCGACTTTGTTGCTCCTGCACCAGTAGTTGAAGTCGTCGGCGAATAAGYTGCATTTTACTGGARGGTTGCAGTTTTGGGTGATGTCATTAATTGCAATCAGGAAAAGTRTTACTGAAAGAGCAGAACCTGAGGAACTCCATTTTCTTGGGTGAATTCTCTGGATAAGTGGTTATTGGCTTTTACTTGGAATTTTCGGTTTGAGGTAAAATTGGTTATAATGTTGAGCAGTCTACCTTGGCATAGAATTGTGTTTAGWTTGWTARTAATGTTATGCCTYCAAGTTGTGKCATATGCTTTGGCWATATCTAAGTTAATTACGCCCATGAGTTGCTTGTTTTCTAATGTTAGTTTGATTTMTTCGTTAATTTCGTGTAAGCTATCCATAGTGCATCTATTTTTCCTAAACCCGTTTTGATWTGAGGAGAAAAAAGATATTTTCTCTAAATACCATGAAAGTCTGTGATTTATTATTTTTTCAAATAGTTTGCACATGGTATTTAGAAGAGTGATGGGTCTATATCCCTCAGTTTTAAATTGGTTTTTCTCGGGTTTAAGTATTGGTATTATGATCCCTGGTTTCCATTTTTTTGGCCATTGTCCCTCGTTCCATATTCGATTATATATACTTATGAGAAATTCGACAGTTTTAATGCTAAAATTTTGAATGAACGAGTAGGGGATAGAGTCGGGTCCGGGACTGTTGCTTTTACATTTTTTTAGYATATTCGTTAATTCATGTAGGTTAATTGGCTTGTTGATGAGGATTTGGTCTTCAAGGTTTTGATTGGCAGTATTAATTATATCTTCTTTCTCACATTTATCTTTGTGAGCTAGAAAGTCGGGTTTGTAGTTATTATCGCTTCTGTTGTTGTAAAAATATTCGCCTAGGTTGTTGGATATTTGTTCGATGTTGTTTAATAATAGATTTGTGGTGGTGTTGATTAGATTAATTTTTCGGTGTGGACAGTATCCTTTWAGAGATTGGATTTTATTCCAAACTAGTTTGGAGTCAGTTTTTCCATTGATGTTACTAGTGAATTTTTCCCATGTCAAATTTTTGCTGGATTTTATCAAGAATTTTGATTTAGCTGAATGAAGTCCTTTTGATAATTAGTTTTTTGGAATTTTTTTAGTGCATCATTTTTGTCCTTAATTGCTCTTTTAATGTCTAGATTCCACCAAGGAACTTTTGGATTTGGAGTTTTGGCTTTTAATATTCCTATACTTAAATTAGCAGTTGAGATTATTGATTCAGTGAATTCGTCGACCAGTTCTTCGGTGTTTTTGTTCTCAGATAAATTAATATTAGTTACTTTGTCTTCGAGCAATTGGGAAAAAAGTAGCCAATCGGGGTTTTTCAAGTTCCATCTCTCGAGTTTGGGGGTACTGTCATTACGACGGGTAACGAGTTGTATGACAATAGGGAAGTGATCACTGCTGGTAATATTGTTTGATACCGACCAGTAGAGTCTTTGAGCGAGGGAAGCATTTGAAAAAGTCAGGTCAATGTTTGAAAGGTTACCGTTAGTTGGGTTTATGCGCGTGGGTTCCATACTGTTAAGTAGTACCAAGTTTTCGCTTTCTAGGATTTTTTCTATTACTTTTCCTCTATTGTCTGTATTTTGAGAGCC